AGTGAGCTTTGAGAAAAAAAAGTATCCAGCTATTTATATTGACAATTCAAAATGAATATAGCAAAGAAAAAATAAAAAATTAAGAGAAATAGTAGCAGAAAGTTCAAAAATTTCATAATTCTTTCATATTACTAGTGAAGATATTGAAAGTGGTAATAGTACTGAATCAGAATTAACTGAAAACAAAAATATATGCAAGGTGATTAAATTTGTGAATAGAGTAATACTTGATAAAATGCTTTCTAAAACTCAAATTGCTTATTATATAGCAGTTCTTTATTTTTTGTGATTGTGACTTAATAACAAAAAGAAAATTGAGATAGTAAAAATGGTTTCAGAGATAATTAATAGTGAGCTATGACTTGTAAAATATATAAGAAAGTGGATAAATATCTATATAAAAGAGGAATTAATTCAGCCAACTGCTTGAGAAAGGTTTCCTTTCAAAAATCTACTTCATGATAAGCTGATTTATCTCTAATTAGCTATTTATCTACGTATTCAGAAGTTCAAGATGAATCTAGTAATAGTTAAGAAATATTTTGAGTAGCATATCCTTCTCTAGTTAAATATTAAATCTGTCTAATGTATCTTGATTCAAATCATTCATTGATAAATACATAAACTTGATTTTTGATATAAATATCTTTAAAAAGATATCTACGCAGATAGATATAAATAGTCCAATATCATTATCTATTATCAAATTTTTCTTCAAGAGATTGCTGAACTTGATCAACTTATGTCCAAGTAACTTGATAAAGATTGCAAGATAAGAACTTTCTCATATTTAAATAATAATGAAAAAGAATATATATGAGTAATTCATGATGAATTAACCTTTCATACTTATGATGAACTATATGCTATGTGAAATTCTGAAGGAGAATAATCATTATAAAAAAAAGGATTGGATCTTGATATGCATATGAGTAATTTTTTAATAGAGATAATAGAATTATTTAAAGATTAATAGGAAGAGATATGCATAATAATGATACTTGATATTAACTAAGATGGATTTTGAGACTCCAGAAAACTTCTTGAACAAGTCATACAGATGATAAACATCTTTAAACAGATGTATTTGAAGAATATGAGTATATTTATCTTTAATAATACTACTTCTTATATGACTTTTATTGAAAATACTTTTGTAGCTTCAAAAATGAATCTTAGTTTAGAAGAATTGATTTCAAAAATGTAAGATATAATATAGAGTGATAGCTATCAATCAATGATTATTAAAGAAGATTATTTTATTTATAATAAGAAGATAAGATTCAATATCAACTTGCGTGATCAGCCTAAAGAAATCCAATAAGTTCTTAGTGAAAGGAGATTATGGCAAGAGAGAATAGTGCTAGAGTATACTTTATACAAGAGAAAAGAAACAGATCCTAATGTTATTAATTATTATACACATCATTTAATAGTCAATCAGCCAGATTTTCTTGTATAGTGTGATCAGATTCAATAAGAAATCAAATTTCATAAATATAAGATAATTTTGTTATCTTTAATCATTTTTTTTCAACTAGCCTAATCTTGACAATATTATTTATTCTTAGGTTATATTCTATCTCAAGTTTCACTCTGAATTTAACTATATTGAGATGTACTGGAGGTAATCAAGAAGTATACTCAATCTTATTACAAGTACTTATTATCAAAAATCAGAAAAATAGTCTCTCAAGCATTTGATTCCATTTTCATAAAGAAAATTCATTCTTTTACTAGGCTGTCATTTAGGTGGATAAATACTTATCATCACAGTTTGACTGAAAAAGTAGCAAAATATATGGTCAGGAAGTATAAGAGATATAGATCAATCAATAAAGAGATTATGAATCAGGTTAATAAATTAATAAATTGATAAAGAGAAATAGGTATAATAAAAAGTTAAGAGTATATTTTATTGTATCTGATCAATAAATATTAAGAATATGCATTATGATGATGGATATTTTTATTTTTTGGTGTGATTATTCTTATTTTACTATGAGAGATATTCTTTACTTGCTTTGTCTATATATAGACTAGCAGGTATTAATTAAATAGCATGATAATTTAACTTCTGCTAGTCTTCTTATAGAGATTAGTATTGATTTATCATTGATTATATGATTGATTATATTACTATATAATGCTAGAGTTAGGATTAAAATTTAATATTTTATATAATAAATTGAATATCTTATACTATCTCGCATTGTATTAATTTTTATAAATTATCTAATGTTGATTAATATGATTCTAAATATTCTTGATATTATACTAGATATATAAAAAATACAAAAGATGAATCTAGATCATTTGTATCTATAGAGAAATATTTGTTACTAGCTAGAGAATTACTTATTTAGATTCAGAAAACAATTCCTAATAAATTTTCATTTTTAATAAGAAATAAAAATGATAATATAAATATTCATCTAATTAATAATTTTCTAGCAATTCATGAAATAAGTTTATCATCATATTTGAGAAAAATTAGTTCTGAACATATTATTATTATTCATAGAAATAAAAATAATTCCAAATATAAATATCTCTGTTAATTAACATTAAGATATAAGATAATTAATATCACATCAGATTATTATGATGTAATAAATGACAGACCAAATACTTCAGCACCTAAACAAGAAAATAATAAGATTGAGAATATTATCAATTTATATAAAGAAATTTTTGATAAAGAGAACTAATCATACTTTTTTGCTTTTATTATATTTATAGCAAAATTCTCATCATTAAATCATTTATAACTAGATCCAGATAAAGATAAGAATGAGGATGAAGATGCAGTATTACTAAAAATTATTTTTTTTTAGTCTTACATAATGTATAATTTCTTCAAGAAATATCTAGATTTTTTATCAAGTTTATAATATCTTGATAAATCTTAGGTTTTACTATCTCCAGTAATTGATGAAGAGAGATTCAGATTTTTTTACCTGTTACTTGCTTAACTATACTGGATATTACTCTATAATTATTCTAAGATTTGTGATTATTTCCAATAATTTTCACTCCTAATTTTTTAGCAAATTCTTCAGTTATAATTGATTAGTTAGTACTTGAATTGATAGTAAGTTTAATTATTATTAATGTTATAATATTATTTATTAGTGCAAATAAAAATACATTATTAAATATAAAATTATAATAAAGCATTATGATGAGAATTTTATCTTGCAAAATTAACAAAGTACCAGTTAAAACTATATTAAATATATCTAAAATAGTAAATATATAATGAGTTATAGCAGAGTATTACAAAGCAATAATCTTTTGGATCTATGAGATAGATTAAGTGAATATGATGAAAATTATATTGTTAATAATATTAAAATATCAGAAGCATGATTATGGTTTGCAAAATATTATCCATCAAAATATATATGCAAACATTTATTAAAATTAGAATATGAAATAAATAATAGAGATTACTGGAAAAATTTTGTATTTCATATCAAAAATAATTTAACCAGCCATAAATAAATAGGTAATGATCCTGAATATAGAAATTTTAAAGTTCAACTAGCATTGTATAAAGAAAACTGTGCATCATTAATTATCCAGAAGATATATCATTTATGGAAAAAATGAATAGATTTAGCTAAAATAATTCAGCACGCAGTAATTAAATGGCTCTATCGACCAGGTAGATCATTTATGAAACAAGCCAAAGATTGATATTATCAAAATGTGAAATAAACTTTATCATTAGATAGAGCAGATCTTATTTCTGCAATTATATCAGCTTTGGTCATTGTAAATGTTATTAATACGAATTTAAAAATGCAGAATTAAATATATTGTTATAATAAAACATCATAAAGATAACTTTATCCTGCAAAATTAATAAAGTACCAGTAACAGTTATACTAGATTCTGGTACTAATTGTAATATTATAGGCGAGAGTATAGCAAAAATAGAAGGCTTGAAAATTGATAATACATCTGATATAGAAATATACAGTCCCATTAGCGAGCTCAATATATTGGGAATAATTCGTGCAATGGAAATTTCGGTCCTGTCTCAAGATCGGAAATGGGAGCAAGTAAAAGTTACTGATGTATTCGTTACCAATAAACCCGAACTTGAATCTGTACTGATATTAGGTCAGTCATGGTTCCAGGAAAATGCAATGAAAGTGGACTTCCCAAATAAAACTCCTACATTGCTCGATGGAACTAGTTATGAGGTTAAGTGTAATTGAGAATATCTGGAAAATAAATGATATATGCATCTAAATTAATTATCCAAATATTAGATGTTTTTTCGATTAAAGATATACAATATACAACTTGAGAATGGCGCAACTATTGCGAAGCCATGACCGAAAGGGTCTAAATATTTTTGATTTACCTGTTAAGGAAGAATGCTGTGAGAAAGCGAGAGAGGAAAGTTGTGATCGAATGTCGGGTCAACAACTGCGATCGATCCTGATAGGAGAGTTTTCATGACGAAATAAAAATAAAACAAAGAAAATGATGGATCATAATAGTATATGTTTCTTACAAATCGAGCCACTCAGATCGCCTCTGCTATCATGTAACATCTATTTTTATTGAATCATGGACAGCGCGAGCGCCATGACATATTATCTGACATACATGTTACCGAATGTAATGTTAACATGATAATTATACGATAAATCAGACCTTAAGTTTTTGTTCCCCTATTAATTGGGGACTCGTAAATAGCAACGACGGTATTACATCTAATATCATAAAATCTCCATCCCGTCGTGTTGTCTTCGTCATTTCTTTTGTCAATAAAACGTCATCATTTTTATTCAATATCATAAACTTTAAATAATGCTATATTTCTTACATATAAACGTGCACGATATTATTTTTAACTCAACCTACTCTGACATGCGTAAACCGCAGAATTACAGAGTATTTGAGTTGCTAAATCATAAGCAGTTAACGATGATACTATTGTAAATTGACTTGTTATCCCATTAAATTCAAACTGTTTCCCCTTACTCCTCGCCATCTTCCCCTAAGTCTACCTTTAAAGTGAAATCTGATAAGGGAGATAACTGATGAGAATCGTAGCTGTTTCTTGATTTAGGCAGATCTCGAGTAGGTACGAGAGTACTAGAATATTTACTCTCCTTCTCGAGACGTGATAGCGGTTTACATCATTATGATAGATAGTATTCCACGTGTTGTCATCAGAATTCTCCTTCTTTGACTTTATAATAAGACCGTAAATATCATTCGAAAGTCTCCATGCATCAGGACGCTTATCAGGATCGGCATCACAACACCGCTCGGCGAATTTCTTTTATTCCTCTGGTGCGGAATCAGGCATCGATGGCCGTAGTCTGTCCATAATATCACATACTAAACCTCTATCAAACTTTCTATCCCTAAAAGGCGGTTCATTAAATACATAATGATACCTAAATTACAAATACAAAAAGCTAAAATTATAGATAATCATTCAGTCGTCAATATAACATTACCAATATCCACAACAATTTATGTCCGAATCAATTTTGTAATTTAATATCAAGCACTTCTGCCAGTCGATTAACGAGAATACATCAGTTTAGAACTATTATTCTTTTAAATAATCAGCATTTGTAACACTGTCGAAAATCACTTTCGGAACGGCAATGATTAAACCCCTGCTTTTGTGTCGCGTAGTAAAGAAAATCCATAATAACGCGGGTTTAGTTTCTTACTGGCTTCAAAAAAAGATCTGCATCGGAAAAGCTTAATAATATAACCTTCTAAACTGCATCAAATTAAAGAAAATACAGTCTCCGTTATTAAAAAATATAATCTCACGCGGGTTTAGTTCTTACTGGCTTCAAAAAAAGATCTGCATCGGAAAAGCTTAATAATACAACCTTCTAAACTGCATCAAATTAAATCTCCGTTATTAAAAAATATAATCTCACGCGGGTTTAGTTCTTACTGGCTTCAAAAAAAGATCTGCATCGGAAAAGC